GTGGGGGGAAATTGGGCCTGTAAAAGTGGAATTGCGTTTGTGTGAATTATTAAGAAGTAATAGGAGATAAAAAAACAGATTATGGAGGTAGCAACTGCGCTATATCAACTTGCATACCGACTAACCCACTAATGGTATTTAAAATGACTTCCTAGTTATATTGAGAATATTTTAGATGTACCTCTTAAAGAGTTAGATGGCTGTGAATATTGTGATGTGTGATTTGATCAAAACTTTGATTTTACAAATTCAGAACAAGAAGCTTTCCTCCCAACCAATCCAAGTATGATGCCTAGACCTGACATGTCGATTATTAAGCGGAGCATAAAGCTCAGAATTGGGATGTAGTAAATACATTCAAACAAAGAAAAAAGGGAGTTGATTCGTTGTCAATTCGCACGTTAATCGGAAGGAACTCGCACATGTACTGACATGATCCCAAACTCCTTATTTCACGCATTTGCATGATAAATATGAATATATCACATCAAAAAAGGAAGCAAAATCAAGCACATGTGCAAATATTAAGATGTGGGAAACGAAGCATTAAGAAAAGAAGATTAAGAAGGGAATTAAGGTAAATGTGGAGAAATAACAATAAAATAAGTTAAATGAAGATACAGACCTCCATTATAGATGGAAAAAAATATTTACGTGAAATCAAATTGTTTTTCCTTTGGGGGGGGTGAAATTCACTTATCCAAGGATGAGAGAAAATTACCGGCACATCACCCTTAGATTCCATAAGTGACCAGCATTCAGTTTCAGTGTCAAATGCCCACACTACAAAAGCAAAGAAGGTAAACACATATATAATTGTCATAGGGCACAGTTTTTAAACATTACAAAGCAGGTCAATGACCTGAAACTTTGTCACATGCAGGGTCAGTTTTCCCTCCAACCAGAAGCACTTTCTTCCCCAGGGAACCTGAGAAATGAAGTACATTTTATTGAACAAATTGTTTGTTAAGAACACAACATAAATTATGTCTTGCTTGGTGCACAAGTACATTAGTATATATCTAGGGATGTCTGAGGATACAGATATATACAAGAGAATGGCCCTTGCATGCCGGGATTTTCAGCGGGAGATTGGTTGGTGAAAGAAAAAGCTTTGATGACATTGTGGTCCAGGAGAATCTATCAAAGTTTAACACCTGGGAAATTGAATTCAAGAAAACCGATCAATAAACGAACTGTAATATGACTTTCTTTGTAAAGAGTTGCAATTATAAAATTGGTTATTACCCAGTTTCCTTTCGGGTTTTATCAAATTAATTGTCCCATTTCCCACTTTGGAAAGAAATCTCCCCTAAAAGCAGCTACACTACTAAAAAAAAACTCTATCTTAAACAACGTGAGAAAGCAAATGGGACAGTTATTTTTATACGGAGGTAGTAAAAGCTAGTGAATACTTTACCTGCACATCTTCTAATAGTCCACTCCCAGATTCACCACCAACTACTACCATTTTGTTCCCAATAACAGCTGCACTGTGCTGTAAAAAAAGTATGTTGCTTCATGAAGAATATATCCTTAAAATTGAAGTAAATACACTTGATGCAAAATAAACTACATTGAACCGAGGTATAGGCTTCTCTCCAGAGATAGAAAGGACCATCCAATTCTCAGAGCTCCCTGAAGCGCCATCATTAAACTCTGATACACCAGTGAAATGGTGGCAGCCACTATCATCGGATTCATTTATGCTGTTTCCCACAGCTTCACCCTGTCATATTTGAAGAGATTCATATTTGGATGTTTGTTTTTCCAAAATTGTACTTTTTCCATTTCTAAATGTTTTACTCCTTTCTTTTAATCTGTCTCCGATAGATCTTCGTGTTTTCTTTTTTATAAAACTTTTACCACAACTTTTCCTTCTTTTTTCTACTTTTTTTCCTTTTTTAAATCTTTTCACAAGGGATGAACCACATTCCTAAAAATTGATGCACAGCCAAATGATGAAGAACCAATGGAGACAGAGGAGTGCAAAGTAAAAGAAAGGGATACATCTTACCCTTGGGCTGCTAAGACGTTTAGGGTTCCTGATGGGGCTTTTAGTTCCCTGAGCAGCATCTGATAGTTGAACTTTCAATCTGATCGCATATCAAGAGATATTAGACAAATATAAATCTGATGTTCATATTTCTGAATTTTGACTGTATGAAAGCGGTTTTGTAAGTACTTTTGGTTATACTACTGGAATATAGTGCAGATTACATGGCACATATGTGAAGACTACCAAGGCATTATGGACATGCCTACCCAGCAATTAGCATTGGTTGTTCCTAATTCCTAAAGTATAACTAGTTGCCAGTCTAATGGGATTCTAATATATTAACATATTGGATTCAACAGCTCCTCGTTGTTAATTACGTAGTACTTCCCAAGGTAGGTGGGTAAATGTTAAGGCGCGTGTGACGATATTCCCCAGGAAGGCAAAATGTGTTTGGTGTGGTGAGAAAAAATGTGTTGAAAGTGAATTACTGTACATGGAAAGTAGCCTTGATTCATCAAACCAATAATATTTCAATGCAAAGCATTGAATAAGGCCAAACTTACTCATTTACAGGTGTGGCACTGTGCATGAAAATGACCTAGTCGCAAAGTAAGAAACTTTCAAACAATTATTTAGCAGAAACGAACTATACACAATCATGTTTCCGCTTCTGCCAATCAACTTTACAGAAAGGCTCTAATATCTTGGCAAACAAAAAGCTATCTTTCCAGCCAATTATTCCACTGCAAACAGGTTAAGATGGACCCCTAAGAGCATCTCTCACTCAAGCTCGAGTTCTAAGGGCTCAAAAAAGAAGGTTACAAAGATTAAAAACACATAATAATTGGACTAGGAAAAAAAAATACCTCCCGAGCTTTGTCCGCCTTCTTGAAAGACCAAACATGTTGTTAACCCCCATTTTCACTGATAATACACTCTCAAATCTACATAAAAAGGAAAAGGCAAACGATATTGTCTTATTCCAAGTAATCATCACAGCTGAGAAAACTTAAAAGCAAAAACACACACAGAAGTGAAAAACCGACTAAACAAAAAACTCGTTTGCATTGTCAACAAAGGAGTCAAACTAGAAACGCAAGCGAATATATTGTCAGATATCACGCATAAACCGGCACACATATGAAGATGCGCATTCTCCTTAAACAAACAACTGTACAGCTAGGGTTTCACTCACACTGAAGAAGGATGAAGAAGAGGAAGAAGACGGTGGAGTCTAAAGCTGGCCGGCCGATAGCTTCTTCAGGCAACCGTTCATATCATTGCCGTGACGAGTTTCAGCTCAAATGTAGATTGTGAGCTTGATTTTTGTATATACATACAGACATTTTTGTATATACAGCAGAAGCAGCTGAAGCAGAAGGATGGATGAAATGAAGTGTCTGAGTTCCAGACAGTGACTGACGCCGTGAAGAGAAGGGTGACGGAGTGAGTGACGGAGAAACGGGGAGTGCATACGTTAACATTTTTTTGTTTGTTTGTTAGAGTCTCAGATGTAACGGAGGAAGGAGGGCCGTTAGATTCATGATACGATTAATGTTCGGTGGCGAAGAGGCGCATTTATGGATCGGGTGTGGCCAAATGGACCACAAGGGCCCACATTTTTCTTGGGAATTGTTGGTATTGGGGATCCGGATCTTTCCCCCCTTTTTGTGTGTCAGAAAAGATCATATTTGGATTTTTGGACTTCTGGGTTGGGCCTTAAAATTTTCCAATAGCCCTTAATGCAAGCCTACTTGTTTCTTGTCTACCTTTTGTAGTGTTAATAATCATATTTGCATCCCCATATTTCGTCAGATTTTTTATGTGTGTTTAAGCTTGAAAAAAGTATTTGTACACACTTTTTTGTACATCTCTTCTTACAAATGTATGCGAGCAACTATTTTTTATTTGTGTACAAAAAATTGCGTGTACAAGAAGAATTTTTGTTTAAGGCTTTCTCACTTTTCTCAAGTACAACACATCCGTTGACCGGTTAAAATCTCAATGAATGACATCAGAAGTTGATTAAGTATTAATATGTAGTTTGTACAACATTATTTTCTCTATCCATAATCCATCGTTATACATATTTTCATAATTTTATGAAAGTACAACTCGTGCGTAATCTCATAGAATTTCAATAATTGTATGCCCATATTGATGCATGCATTTAAATTATTTTTTCACTTTTTCACTTGATGCTGCAAGATTGCGATTGGTATCATTAAAGAACATGAATCTCTTGCAAACAATCAAAAGGAGATAGAGAACGAATCACATGTTATTCAAAATTATTGTAAGGAATACGAGTACTTTACAAATCACCATATATAAAGTCTAAATTTTGAAATTTATGTAATAGCTATGAGCTTTTCATAGCTGTTGAACACTATGAAGCCGTTTGGAGCCCTAAAAATGGGCTGAAAATCCAAAAATGTAGCCAAACACATGTCAAATGGGTTGTTTGAGTTGGAAGTTATTAATGCACTGTTGCACACCTATAGTACTTCTGTACCCCTTTTTAAGCCTAATACATCACTCGGCCATTGCTTTGTCCTTCCAGATTGACGATGAGAAGCTCTTCATATTCATCTAAAGGTATGTACGTTGAGCTTGCTTCTATCTTCTTCTTCAGTTGTGCGCTACCCTCTATTGTTGGAATGAATTGGAGCAAGATAATTAATTACTACTCCGCTGCAGGAAATTATTACACAAGTAAAACCAACTGCACGAATTTACTCAAATAAAGAAGAAGTTTATGGAACTATAATTTCTTATGAGAAAAGAAAAGAGAGATTTAAATCCTTTGACACAGGAAGATCGATTGGAGGTTGTTCATAGGTTAACTACTTGTCTCATTTTATCAATGGGATAATTCTTTCCTATTTATGGTTCTCAGTTTATCCAATATGTTCTCATGTAGTTCTACCCCAAAATTAGTTGATTTATTGTCTGAGCTTAATGAAGCACCTGAGGAGCTTGATAGCAAAGTTCATCCATTTTGAGCAAGGTACTACCTCATTATCTAACAACTCTGGCATTTGCTCCTCCAATATTTCAATTTAGCAATATATGACATTTTAGACATCATTGCTGGTGAAACTAATTAAGAATGATGTCTTAAGAAGTTCCACTGTAGACAAACAACTAGTTTCTCAAGTATTGTATTTGTGTATTGATGGATAGTTTCTTTAGATGATATATATTACTATCATGATTACTATTATCAATATTGTTAGGATTTAGAATGTTGTATATAGTGACATGCATTGTCTTTAAATGTTGCACGGTAACTAAGTGGGTAAATTAAGTATGTTACTATATATAAACAGTATAGTGATTATTGTTTATCAGTAATTTTACAGAGCATGTGATGTGCTCCTTAAGGAGCACGTGAGTCTGATCAGAAGTCCTAATAAGTATAGATCTCATTAAACAATCCGGTTGCCGCGTCACTTTAAATTATTAGGTTTTATCATTATTATATTACTCCGTTTTAGGTTATTAGAACAAGAACATGTGTATTCTTGTAAAACCATTCTGATCCTTCATCTCTATACACACGTAAACAAGATAATCGGTATTTGTACTATAGTGGAAGCTTGAAAGGTATGTATGATTCTTTTATATTTTATTCAACCCTTTTTTCATCGTAATTCAATATTTTTTTGCAATATAATTCAATCTTTTATTTTTAGAAACTAAATAATTCATTAAAACGAGTAAATCTTAATATTTACGCAAATTCTTCGTGAAAATTCTAATGTAAATTTATAATACGTAGTAGAAAATATTAAACACTCGTTGTTCAACTGGTTCTTTGCAGCGTCGTCAGAATTCATAAAAGTTATCCATGGATGAGGAGAGCATGTTACCTGCAGATGTAGATATTCTGAATATGTCATCATCAAATTTACAAAATAATGAAGGTTTACAATCTTGATTTTGGTTTAATATATGGTACTGTATTAATTATATTTATTGTTATATAATTTATATATAGGAACAAATTTTCTCTTTGTAGTCACTGTGAATGCGATTGGTTTCAGAATATTTATTTTGATAATATTAATTCCAATCCAGAACTATGTTTCAGCCCAAGCTAGCATAGATGCTTTTAGCCCCTATTTCATACATATGATGTTTTTATTTGAAAAAAATCCGATATAGTCTATTCTCTTTAAGTCTAACCTAGTCTTTATTATTTTGATCCAGAATTAAAAAGTAGTAAAATGTACATATACCAAATTTTTATCAATTCAGAATAGATAAGATCAGATTCAAATATTTTAGTCCATGTTAAAATATCCTTTTTTTAAGTGGAAATTACCCCCACGAGCCACTTTACTACTTGACATATCATTTATGTCCACGCACAAAATCTTTTTCATATTTAAACTTTTAAGTTTTCACTTTTGTTTTTTTATTTCAAAAAGAGTCTAAACCTAACCGGCTAAACCCAATCAAGCGTAACAAATCCAAATCTACCTCTGCATCTCTTCATCTCCTCTAAGCTTCACTTCGCACCATCCTCCACATTTGTCGATCAATTTCCTCAATCGCCTACTATTTAAGAGTATGAAAGCTTTGATTTCTCAGTTCGCGATCATCTAGAACCACGCCCTTTGCGACAAGAACTTTGATCCCCAAGCCATTGATGACGTCATGAAGTTCTTCGAGCTTGAGGCCTAAAAGGCCTAGGCGGCCATGGAGCTTGACCGGGAGAAACATGTCGAAGAAGCAGAGAGTCACACGCGGGAAGCGGATGACCATGTCAACTATGTCATGGACAACGCCATGGAGGAGTTCGGGCGAGGAGGAGATGGATCGGATGGATCGGGCGGAGTAGGACAGTCTGGTCGACGTCACCGACAAGGAGAGGGGCGTGGAGAAGACCATGGCGAGACAGCCACCGTCTTCGTGAAGATGTATATCAAAGATGCCTTCAAGTCTTCAACTGTGCTACCTCTTCCATGAGATCCGCCATCAAGGTCGTTTCTTCTCGTTCCAAAAAGGTTCATCCTTCTTAAAGAGCAATCAATTAACTATTTCTGCGATCAGTAGTTATGTTGTGAACAATTATGGGTTATTTGGTGTGTCATAAATGAAAATTTACTTGAATTGATGAATCCACGAAGCAGTTCGAAGAAGAAAAAAATTAAGAGGTATTAAGAGTACTCTACGGAATTCCATATGTCGGCCAGAGCGCTACTATTATTCTTCGAGCTCCTCTCAAGCCTCTGATCTTTGTATCTCCATTCTTCTCCACCATTGATTTGAAGAAGGTGAACATGTCATATTTAAAATTAACCATTGTGTTTGCTAGTATTGTTATAGTGATTTTTTAATCTCTTTGCCTATTTGTGTATGGGAAGTTATTACCCCAAACAGTTTTGAGTAATTGGATCACTAAAGTACAAAACAATGTGTTTGTGCTTTTCATAGTCTGTTTGGTGAGTCAAGCTGAAAGGTAGTTGAAAATGAAAAATCTAATAACTGAGAAGTTGAAAGTTAATAGTTTATTTTTTCGGCAGAATTAGTTGTTTAGAAGCACTGATATGTGTAAAAGGATATGAAAGATACATCATAATTTTTATATTAACACAACTAAGATGATTAAAGCTACATAAAAAGTTAGTAGCTTATCAACCGAATGTTCTGCGTCAGTCCCATATTGAAATATTAGGGGAAGATGAGTTTACAAGACCTTCAGTTGATCTAATTAATCAATAGTACTCAATCTTTTAGTGTTGTTTGATCATTGTGCATTATGTCCGTGTCTACTGAAGTCAACCCAGTCCTAAATTCTATTGCTATAATACATCTATGGAAGATGGCTTTTCAAACAAGAGCTTAGTTTAGCAAACAGAATATACAACTTATTTGGAGCTTACAAATAAACTGATTTGTTTTTTGGAGCTTACAAATAAACTGATTCACACGAGTATCTACTTATTTGCTAAATTGATTTGTTTGTTTTTAGAACTATGCTTCCGATTAAGTTTTTGAATTATTTTTTAGCTAAACTTATGGTTGACTTAGTTCCATGTTTTCTTCTTATAGAGTTCACAATTCAAAATCCCAGGTCGATCCTCCCTTTTCAAAATGGTATATTCGTACTAGCGTTTCTAACATTGTGATGAAAATATGCATTTTCAATCACTAGAGTTGCCATAGATAAGTATCATTTTATAGTGCTGCAGTAGAGAGATCATCTGCTTGCAATGGAATTCTTTGAAAACCTGAGCAAAACAGTAATATGCGTTTTTTTCAGAGATCTTATTAGCTATCAATTTCTTCTATTCAAAATCTAGCTTGTGACTATTAATGAAGATTTTGATATGGCAAAATGAAGCATTTGGAAGCACTTTTTTGTCCTACTTGAACCTTGAATGTTGTGAGATGTCCATAGGATGATGATATAAATCTCAATCCAAAGTCACACAATTGGCTTCTACTAAGCATCTCATTTGACATACCTACTGCATTCCCTTAAGTGTCTATTTGTTGCTAATAGACACTTGTACCAGCCATTTAATTGTTGGCTTCACATACCTACTGAGCATATGTTTACTTATAATGGCATTGAAATAATAGATTCATTATATATTTATTGTAATACTTTTATAGATTTTTGTTTCTTTTTGTTGCATTGTGTGTGTTGCTTTTTGTTGCACCATGTTGCTTTTTGTTGCATCTTGTTGATGTTTGTTACAGAATGTTGCTTTTTATTGATTTTTTTGAACTAAAGCTTTTCTATTTATGTTGTTTATTGTTTATCTATGCTTTGATTTGTATGCAGTACTTTGTATATATATATGAACACCTAAATTGATAAGTTTTGAATTATGAATATTAGGAACAACCAGAAACATAGTGAAACAATAAAAAACAAAAACAAAAAAAGTTATCAACAAAAAGAAACACAAGGAAACAGTATTCTACTCAACTAACAATAAAACCATAATTATATTTTAA